GGGGGTGGGCGAGGGGGCAGACACTGTGGGTACTTGTACAGCCACACTCTGTTGCTGATAACAGTGTGTTACTCTGGGGAAGAGTTTTGAAATTACTGTGTGAACGCGATGGAGCCACAAGCAGGACATCAGCTGACCTCACTGTGGCATCAATCAGCACACTGTCACCCTCCCTACCCTCCCCACCCCCCCAACTCTTCCCGTGCGGTGGGGTGTGCCAGTCCGCAGCTGGTTCTCTTCTTCTCTATATCCCCAGCCTCTCCTCATGCTGCCGCACTGTAAACTCCAATGTTACCCACAAAGGGGGTCTCTCTCTCTCTCTCTGTCCTCTGATCTCTCTCTCTGTCTCTCTCTCTCTCTCATTGGCCCCAATTTTCTCATGTGCGCAAGGCTCCTTGATGACCCAGTGTCGCTTTCCTGAGAAAGCTGGGGACAGCCACAGCTTGACCACCCCCTCCCACCCCCCAACCCCGGTGCCCCAGCTACCCCAATGGTCAGTGTGGCTGATGTGTCCTCCCGTTCTGAAGGGGGGTGCAGGGGCTTCCTGCGGTTGGCCGTGGGGCTGCGTCATATTTGGACTGCCCTCCGCAATGCCACGTTGTGAAATGGCGGATGTTTCTCTGTCTCACTGCAGGAGAAATGGGACCGGCTGATATCGGAGGGAGTGACCTCACTGGAGATGTTTGAGCACATCAGCCTGATGACCTTGGACAGCCTCCTGAAATGTACCTTCAGTTACGACAGTAATTGTCAACTGTGAGTAACCACCAGGGTACAGCCAGACACATTGCCCACTGACCTCTGTGTCGGTAACAGCAAGGCACAACCAAATAACAGCCGCCTGGAGTTGACCATCTCAATCAGGTCTTTTTTTTTCTTTATTCATTCATGGGACGAGGGTGTCATTGGCTGGGCCAGTATTTATTGCCCATCCCTAATTGCCCAGAGGGCAGTTTAGAGTCAACCCCATTGCAGTGGGTCTGGAGTCACATGTAGGCCAGACCAGGTAAGGATGGCAGCTTCCTTCCCAAAGGGACATTAATGAATCAAACAGGTTTTTCCAACAATGGATTCATGGTTATCATTAGATTCCTAATTCCAGATATTTTATTGAATTCAAATTCCACGATCTGCCGTGGCAGGATTTGAACCCAGGTCCCCTCAACATTATCTGGGTCTCAGGGTTAACAGGCCAGTGATAATACCACTAGGCCATCGCCTTCCCATGCTAGCCACAGTCTTACTGTATGGTGGAGGGACTGAATGGCCTACACCTTCTGTCAAGCCCCATGTTCCCCATGGAGCGATTTCCCAAACTGTGATGCCCCAGTGGGGTTAGAGAGGTGTGGAAATGGAGCAAAACAGGCCGTTCAGCCCCACTGTACTATCCAGCAAGATCGCGGCTGAGGGGCCGGGGATTTTGGAAGCAGTGATGGTTGCCATGGTGATCGTTCTAATTCCTGACAGTGATGAGGCCCCTTTTAAATGTTGCACCACCACCCCGCCCCACCCCCTTGTTGACTCCCACCAAAACAGGATGACTCGTTGAAGCCAGTGGCTCAGAAATGGTGACTGTATCCCCAAAAACCCACTTACTACCCACTCCACCCTCTCAGTGACTCTCAAAAACCTCCCCCACTCCCAGACTGTTACCCTGGGGCCTGATGAAGCCTGAGCTGAGAAAGGGTTTTGGAATCACTGGCCTATGTTCTAACTACATTGATGTGTCTCACCTTATGCTTTCCTCCGGCTTGCACCAACATTCAGTCTGTTATGCAGGACCCAGTCATGATGAGGTGAAAAGGTTTATAAAGCTAGTGAATAGAGAAACTGCATTGATGTAGCACCGTTCAGGACAAGCCCGTCAGAGTTCAGTCATGGTGTAATGTAGGAAACGTGCCTGCTGATTAATGCACAGCAAGCTCCCACGGGGGACAGCAGTGAGAATAATGACCGGGGACTGTGCAGGGAAACAAGGGCCAGGCAATGAGCCTGCCCCCTGCTGGGCTTCCACCGCCTGGAAGGGCAGAGAAGGTTTAACATGTCATCCCAGAGCCAGCACCTCTGACGGTGCTGCACGCCCACGGTACTGCACCAGAGCACGTTCCTGGATTGACACTCCCATGTTGTCTGCGGTGGGAATCCGTGATCTTCAGGAGGGGATGTGTGCTGGCCACTGAGCTGTGCTGGGTGTGTTCACACCATCCATTAATGACCAGGGGCTTCTGTTTCATGTTTTACCCTTGACCCTGAATCCAGGGTCCCTACCCGAAACGTCAGCTTTCCTGCTTCTCTGATGCTGCCTGGCCTGCTGTGTTCATCCAGCTCCACACTGTGTTATCTCTGACTCCAGCATCAGCAGTTCTTACTATCTCTGACGGAGGACCCTTGAATGCTGTGCCTGGGCTTCCTGGGGGAAGTGGGGAGGGAGATGGGGAACAGACTGAGCTGCACCGACAGCCCGCTCTCCTGTACTTTGCTGCCTAGAAAGTCCAGTGACTACATCGCTGCTATCTACGAACTGAGCACACTGGTGGTGAAAAGGGAGCGTTATTTACCACACCACATCGACTTCATTTACAAGCTGTCGGCCAATGGCAAGCGGTTTGCCAGGGCGTGTGATCTGGTGCACTCCTATTCGCTGGATGTCGTGCAGCGACGTCGGGAGATCCTGAGGGAGCAGGGGGCAGACACCTGGCTCCAGTCCAAACAAGGCAAAGTGACCGACTTCCTGGACATCCTGCTGCTGTCAAAGGTCAGCGTTTCCGACCCCCTCTGCTGCCCCCACTGGGCTTGGTGAGGCAGCAACTCCTTACCCCCACACAATGAGATCCCTCCTCCTAAAGTGACCCTCTCTGTCACTTCCTAATCCTCCCGGTGGGCTCTCGGTCAGGCCTGCACGCGAGGGCCATCCCCACTGGCTATGAACTGAGGGGCTAACATGGCCGATCCAAGGGGGGTTCGGAGGGTATTCGCGGGGCATTTGAGAGCCAACCCTGTGGGTCCATGCACCACATTGCAATTTGAACCTGTGCCCCTGAGACAGTAGCTGGGCCTCTGGTTCCCTGGGAAAGTGACTTCAGCAGACACTCCCTCGCATGAGGAGTTGGTTGTTTGGTGAATCTTAGAAACAAAGAGAATAGGCGCAGGAGTGGGCCACTCGGCCCTTGAGCCTGTTCTGCCATTCAATATGATCATCCAATCAGTACCATGTACACCTTCCTCCCTATACCTTTCAATCCCTCTAGCACTGAGAACATTTATTGAACCTCTTCTTGAAAGCATTTAATGTTTTGGCCACAATAGTTTCCGGAAGGTAGTGAATTCCAACAGGCTCCCCACTCTCTGGGTGAATATGTATCTCCTCATCCTAGTTCTCAGTGGCCTATGCTGTATCCTTAAACTGTGAGCCCTGTTTCTGGACTCCCTGGTCATCCTTCCAGTGTTTCCCCTGTCTCGGATCGGTGAGGTGAAGGAGGGAGTGGGATCTGATGGTAGGGCAGTAATCCTGTACAAATTAGCAGCTGGCCAATGGGGAATGAGCCTTTATTTTCTGTCCCCAGGATGAGGATGGCAATGGCCTATCAGATGAGGAGATCCAGTCAGAGGCTGACACTTTCATGTTTGAGGGTAAGTGTGTGGTCAGATCTCCTCTTGGCTGTAGTTTTATCTGGGACATTGACGCTCTGCTGTCTTCAAACATATCCATGGTGTGTGAGGGTCAGTGAAGGGGGCCGTGATCTATTATACATCTTTAACCTGTCTCCAATACAACCCTTTCTGAAGGTTGGTGAGAGCTAGCCAGCTTTTGGAGTCCTATGTAGACCAGACTGGGTCGAGATGGAAGACTTCCGTCCCTGAAGGAAATTGAATGTGTTTCTATGACAATGCTGCTCCCTATTACTGAGTTAGTTTTTCTTCAAATTGACCAACTTTTTGAATTTAAAAGCAGCTGTGATGGGATTTGAGCCCATGGCCCCAGAGAATCAGTCCTGATCACGGGCCTCGTAACCACCATCCTACCGCAACCGCCATTTGCTGGATGTTTGGTGCCATCCTGTGATAAAAAGACATGCATTTATATGGCGCCGTTTGTGACCTTGGGAAAGTGGTGAACTTCTGAGGCGTGGTCATTGCTGTAATGCAGGAAATGCTGCGGCTAGTTCATGCACAACAAGACCCCGCATCCATCAAAAGCGGTAATGGTCAGGCGACCCGTTTCTGTGACGCAAAACTGGAACCTTCCGGAAACTTGCAGCAGGACTGTCGGTGTTGGTGGTTCAGGCCAGAGAGCTCTGGTGGAAGGTGGAGACTGATATAAACAGGGTGTGAACAAGTAACTGGGAGGCAGGGACAGTGTGTGACACAGGGGAAGGCTGGAGAGATGAAATGCAAAAGGGATGATGGTGTGAGGCAGAAGGAGGTGGGATTAGGAATGAGGGGGAGAGGGAAGTTAGGGGTCAGGCTGGGTGTAAATGGAAACAGGGAACATGGTCTGAAATACTGGCCACTAATATCCAGTTGTCTGTTAAGTGCTTTTTAGTGACATTGGCTAAGTCACCAGAGGGAAATCCCCTGAGAGAGAGAGAGAGAGAGAGAGACGATGGGCTCTCCAGGTAACCCTTCATCAGAAAGACAGCTCCCCCAGCAGTGTGGCCCTCCTGTTGTCCTACAGCAGAGTGTCAGCCTGCCTAATGTTATCTGATTGAGCAGCGAAACTCAAATGTGGCCCCCCACCTCTCTCAGTTTTCCGGTCAGTGTTTCTCGCCTGTCCCTCAGCGTTTGTGCCGAAAGTGCTCAGAGTTTCCTTTTTAACCCGGATCAGTGTTACAAGGTGTTTGTCCATTCCTGAATTTCCTTCTCCCAATGTCTGGGCAGGACATGACACGACGGCCAGTGGGATATCGTGGGTGTTATATAACCTTGCCAGGCATCCGGAATATCAGAGGAAGTGTCGAGAGGAGATTGAGGAACTGCTGAAGACAAAAGATGGTGAAGAGCTGGAGTGGTGAGTGCCTGACCTCTTCAATCTTATGTTACAGACAAAACACAGGAGCAAGGGGAGGACCATTCAGCCTACAGAGCCTGCTCCATATCATCAAAGCCGATGGTGGGTTTCTCACCCGCTCCCCATATCCCGATTTCCCGGAAATCTGTCTGTCCCAGCTTCAAATTGATTTCACGATGGAGCATCGAGAGGTTTCACATCTCTTGGAGTAATCACATTTCCTCAGCACCCTCCCTTTATCCTGAGTCTGTGCCCCACCCCCTGGGTTCCCCAATCGGTGCGGGTATAATCTCACCATGTCCGCTCTGTCGAGTCCTCTTCGGAATCTTGTGTATTTGAATGAAATTGAATCCCCATGGAATACTGTATTACACCAGGTGAAGAATTTGTGTTGAATTTCCGGGCACAGGAACAGACATGTGTACAGGCAAGGAATAGAGGGATACTGACCATGGATTTAGTTTAGAATGGCATCATGGTCAGCACAGACATGGTGGGCCGAAGGGCCTATTCTTGTGCTGTATTGTTCTATGTTCTATCCTCCACCCTGTTGGGTTCCCAGGGGTATGTGAACAGCCTCAACGTTGAACTGAAAGACAGAGAATGCTGGAGAAACTCAGCAGGTCTGGCAGCATCTGTGAAGGAGAGTCATACAGGACTCAAAACCTTTACTGTGTTTACTCCGTCCACAGATGCTGCTGTGGCGAAGTGGTAAGGGCACTGGGCTGGGGTATCCAGGACCCCAGCCTAATGTTCTGGGGTCATGGGCTCACTTCCAGAGGGTGAAAAAGTTTAAATTCATGAAAAAGCTGGCTTCACGTTGACAAGTAACCATTACTGGGAAAGACCACATCTGCTTCACTAATGTCCTTTAGGGAAGGAAACTGCCATCATTTCTGAAGAAGGGTCTAGGCCCGAAATGTCAGCTTTCTTGCTCCTCTGATGCTGCTTGGCCTGCTGTGTTCATCCAGCTCTGCACCTTGTTATCTCTGCCGACCTTACCTGGTCTGGCCTACATGTGACTCCAGACCCACAGCAATGTGGTTGACTCTGAATTGCCGTCTGGGCAATTAGGGATGAGCAATAAGTGCTGCTGAGCCAGCGACACCCTTGTCCCGTGAATGAATAAAATGAAAGTTAACTATTGATAGCTGCAAGGCTAAGCCTGAGGGTCACAGTTTAAAATCAGGGTTGCTCCCGTTTAAGACAGAGATGAGGAGAGGTTTTTTTTGTCCCTGTTCCCAGGGAATTGGCAGGGGGTTGGGGTCAGTGAATATATTTAAGGTGGAGGGAGAAGATATCAAGGTTGTGAGGGAGGTCAGGAAGGAGGGTGGGCCTGAGGCCGCAGTGAGATTGTATTGATGGGAGGGAGCAGGCTGTGTGTGTATGTGTGTCCGTCTCTGACTGTGCTGTGCCCCCTCCCACAGGGACGATCTCTCCCAGATGCCCTTCACCACCATGTGTATTAAGGAGAGCCTGCGGCTACACCCAGCGGTTACCACTGTGGCCCGGTGCTGCACTGAGGATATCCAGCTTCCCGATGGCAGGGTGATCCCGAAAGGTTAGACCCAGGGCCAGTACTGCAACGGAGAGGGGTCACAGACACAGTGTTGTCGGGTGGGGGGCTATAAATCCGTCTGTCAGCGTCGATCAAAACCCTCCCCTCAGCTGAGACATTGCGGCCTGAGGAGAGAGACAACATTATTTTTAACCTGAGGCCTGAACTCAGGCTGCACAGTGCACACAGAGTGGAGGCCTGAATCCCCCACCCCCCTCCCTGGGCCTGATGTGCCAAGTTTTATACAAACACGCAGATTAAGGAGCAGATCACTTGGCCCCTTGTCACTGCCCTGCCATCAGGGTAAGATCCAGGCCTGATCTGGTTGTGTTTTGAATTCCACTTTCCCATCTACCCACCCCTCCCGCCCCACCCAGATTCTCCTCAATTCCCTGACTAACTAGAATCTGTTCCCCCTTCAAAAGATTCCCTGGGCCAGACTCCAGTGCCATCTGAGACTGGGTGTTCCAGAGTGACACAGCCCTCTGAGAATTTTCCTTCATTTCTCTCCTAATAGAGACCACTCATTTTAAACAGTGTCTCCTCATTCCTGACTGACCCACAACAGGTATCATCCTGTCCGTATCCACTTCACCATTTGGAATCTCAGACACTTCGCCATGTCACCCCTCACCCTTCTAAACTCCAGCAGGAACAAGCTCAGTTTGGCCAATCTTTCCTTGTAAGTTAACCCTATCATTCTAGGTATCAGTCTAAATAATCTCCTCTGAACTGCATTTACATCCTTTCTTAAGTAAGGAGACCAGAGCTGCACGCAGTATTCAAGACACAGTCTCATCAATGCTGGTTTACTGAAGCTCAGCGTTCTGATCTTAACATTCAAATCCTTACTTAATAAAGGTTTGCATCACATTAACCTTCCTGATCAGTTATCGAGTCGTACAGCATGGAGACAGACCCTTCGGTCAAACCAGTCCATGCTGAACATAATCTCAAACTAAACTAGTCCCACCAACCTGTGGTTGGTCTATATTCCTCCAAACATTTCCTACTCATGTACTTATCAGAATGTCTTTCAAACGTTGTAACTGTACCCACATCCACCACTTCCTCAGGAAGCTCTTGCTACACACAGACCAACCTTATGTAATATGTCTTTTTTAAATCTCTTTCATCTCACCCTAGGGAAATGACAACTACCATCAACTCTATCTATACCTCTCATTATTTTATAAACCTCTCAACCACCTCTGCTCCAGTGAAAAAAGTCCCAGCCTCTCCTTATATCTCAAATCCTCCATTCCCAGCAACATGCTGGTAAATCTTTTCTGAACCGTCTCCAGCTTAACATCCTGCATCTAACAGGTCAACAATATCCTGTACAACCTCAACATGATGTCCCAACTCCTACACTGCACAATCTCTCCAACAGCTCTATCCACATTCTACACCGCTGCCGCGCCCCCCCACAGCACCCTCCCCCCATCCCCCCAAACCCCCAAACCAGGATAAGCTGTGGTTAATCTACATCAATGCTTATTTTCATCCTTTCAGTCATAGGGGAGCTGATGGCCTAGTGGCATTATGACTGGATTTGCTAATCTAGATAATGTTCTGGGGACCTGGGTTTGAGCCCCACCATGGCAAATGGTAGAAATTGAATAAGAAAATGAAAAATCTGGAATTAATAATTGTACAGCACAGAAACAGACCCTTTGGTCCAACTTGTCCATGCTGACCAGATATTCTAAATTAATTTGGCCCACGCCCCTCTAAACCCTTCCTATTCATGTACCCCTCCAGATGTCTTTTAAATGCTGTAATTGTACCAGACTCCTCCACCTCCTCTGGCAGCTTGCTCCAAAATACTTGTCTCCTCATTAACAACACAGACGTTATCACAAACTAAAGCCCATATTCCCAGCCAAGTGTTTGTGGCTCCTTACATCAATGCATTGCACAACCATAATATCTTCTTCCAAAGTGTACTACTGTCCATCCTCCTTCTGCATTCACAGTGCTTTCACCATTCCTTCCCACTGATCATTTCCAAAACCCCTATCCTGTCCTGTCCGTGACTTCACAGCATTTGTAAAGTATCCCCATTCACTTGGACACACCTTCCTGCTGCACATCTCCACAATACTCTCTCCACAAATGCAAAATTCTCCCATTCATCACTTTGAATTCCCCAAAACTTAGCTCAGCAATACATTGCATGACAAACTTAATTTTACTGTTTTAGAGCTTTTGTTTTGAAAAACCAACACCTTATTACTTGCTGCTTGGCATTAAATTTCTGGGACTAAATTACTCCTGTTGTTCTTGGTTAGCTTATAGTAACCATTAGCTTCATGTACTGCAGTATTAACGTAGATCACAATCCAGTAAAGATAATAAATAATTACTTGCATGAGAGCAAAGATATTTCCTCTCAGTTACCAGTAACTAAGTCACAGAAAAACATTAAGATGCAAGCTTTAATATCTTACTTTGTGCTGAACTCAGCAGGGGAAACAGAAAACCTGCAAGAGTTGAATTTGGCAAAGCTGACTATCAGCATCACAGGGCTGGTTCTAGAAAATGGCAAAACTCTGTTTGCACATTGATCCTTGAGACGGTTGAAGTATCTCTGTTGGCAACAGCTGGGATGCTGACTGAGACAGTACCAGCTTCCAATACCTCATTTCTATGTTATAGCTCCCTGAGCCTTTTTGTCAATTTCCCCCCACCTCGTGTCCGTTAATTATGACTCCATTATACCCCATAATACTGGGTTAGACTGAAGAAATGATGTTCCTCAATATGCTACCTCCTGCACTGCTATGTGCTAAATCTCTGGTGACCCTTCATGTCACCATTATACCCAGTACCAAGAATGAAGTGTATACCAAGAGGAAAGCTCGAGTAGGTTTTCCATACAAAATTTTAAAAATACAGATTCAATTCCTTTAAATCATTAATTATCTTCAGTCTGCACATGTGAGCAACAAAATACATATTAAATGACTGCCGCAGGTATTTATTCTGATTTACAAAGTAACATCTTGCAACGTGGAGAGAAATCACATACTGGCAGTTTGGACACTCTCTTGATTTCATCGGATTTCTCCAGAAATCTTCTATCAATTTATCCTTGCAGTCACTCACATCTGGGAAACTTTGTCGCCAATTGTTGGAAAAATCCATCTGGTTCACTAATGTCCTTCAGGGAAGGAAACTGCCATCCTTATCTGGTCTGTCCTACATGTGACTCCAGACCCACAGCAATGTGGTTGACTCATAACTGCCCTCTGGGCAATTAGGGATGGGCAATAAATGCTGCCTGGCCATTGACACCCTCATCCTGTGAATAAAGAAAAAGACTTGTGTATTGGGAAGTAATTGGGAATATTTGTCTATTTTCTAGGGAATACCTGTCTGATCAGCATCTATGGAACTCACCACAACCCTGCAGTCTGGCCTGATCCTGAGGTACTGACACCTTCTTTCTCACGTGGGAGAGTGTAGTGGAGGGCTCCCGTGCTGCTGCTCCTACAGCGAGAATGTCGTGTTTGATTGGATGTAGAATGACGTTGGATAACCTAATAGCTCTGAAGGAGTTGATGTTCATGTTGCATTAAGCTCCACCCAGTCTGATAATGCCACCCAGTCTCTGGGAGGAGCCTATTGAGGTCAGCTGGAGGAGGTAACAGCAATAGGGAGAGTGGGGGCATGCGGAGGGTTTTGGAAACTGGGCTCAGCTTTGTAAAACTGAGCCGTTGTTTAACTGGGAGCGTGTGTTGGTCAGGGAGTGCAGTGATAATGTGAAAAGGTCTTGGTTTGACTGGAATGTGTCGAGAAACTGCGCTGAAGAGTATTTAGGAATTTATGAAGGGAGTAGATGTATTCTGTACAGCTCCTGAGTAACTGCCTCACTAGTTCCAGTAAACGTTGCCCATTGGTATCAGGCAAGAAAATACCTTGTGGTTTAAGTCTCCAACTGAGTCAGCAGCGGCCTATCTGCTGTTAGCACTGATAATGAGCCAGGCTGAGGACAGCCCAGACCCTCCATCAGCAGCAAGACCCTGTGGGTTCCAACTCGCAATTACTTGTACAACAACAACAGCTTGAGGGGAGTGAGTGCGGGGGGAGGGGAGTGAGTGCAGGGGGAGGGGAGGTCTAGAGCCTGAGTCCAGGCAACTGAACACAACTGCCTTTGGCAGAGCCACTCAAATCAGGGATATCCGATAGGCCGGAATTGGAAAAACACAATAAAATGAGCTGAAGGTTATTTAGGAAAGGACATGGAAAAAACCAGCTGGAGGTGGCAACAGCATAGGTGAGGGCTTTAGCAGCAGATCAGCTGAGGCAGGGAGTGAATCGGCAGACAGTGGAGGTGGAAATAGGTGACCATGTGATGGTGTGAATACAGTCAGTGGCTCAGACTGACTCAGATATGGCATCATGTTCCTGACAGAGGGCAGGCCTCGAGTCAGCAGCTTGGAAACTGAACCCAGAGAACTGGGTCCATGAACAATTGTTTTGGACTGGAGTAAACTTCTGCTCCACCAGTCTGGAATATCAGACAAGCAACCTGAAGCAGTCCATGCTCAAATGCAGTAAGACCTGGACAATAGCCAAGTTTGGGCTGATCAGCATCTATGGAATTCACCACAACCCTGCAGTCTGGCCTGATCCTGAGGTACTGACACCTTCTTTCTCATATGGCAGTGTAGTGGAGGGCTCCCGTGCTGCTCCTCCTACAGCGAGAATGTTCACACCAGGCAATGACCATCCCCTGAAAACAGGCTATTATCACCACCCCTTGACATTTACCTTCACTGAACCCTACTATCAACATCCTGGGTGTTATCATTGACCAGAAACTCAACTGGACTCACCACATAAACACTGGCTACAAGATCAGGTCAGAAGCTAGGAATACTGTGGCGAGTAACTCACCTCCCAACTCCTCAAAGCCTGTCCGCCATCTGCAAGGCACAAGTCAGGAGTGTGATGGAATATTCCCCACTTGCCTGGATGAGTGCAGCCCCAACAACACTCAAGAAACTTGACACCATCCAGGACAAAGCAGCCCACTTGATTGGCACCACATCCACAAACATCCCCTCCCTCCACCACTGACGTTCAGTAACGGCAGTGTGTACTATCTACAAGATGCACTGCAGAAATTCAGCAACGATCATCAAACAGCACCTTCCAAACCCATGACCACTTCCATCTAGAAGGGCAAGGGCAGCAGATAACATGGGAACACCACCACCTCCAAGCCACTCACCATCCTGACTGAGATATAGGAGGTTGTAGATGGGCTGATTGTTTGCAAGGACAGAAGGGCCTATGGTTGGTTAGTTTGAGGAGAGGTGTGATGACAACAGACTGGAAGGAGGGAGGGACAGTATCAGAGGAGAGAGATCCATGAACAATATCAGTGAGAACTGGAGGGCTGCCGAAGGGGAACAGTTTAGAGGAAGTCAGGTCCTGAGGGAGGGCCTGGTGGGGGAGAGAATTTCAGAGAAAAACTAGAGCAAAGTGACAGGACAGGTCAGAGCATGAGGAGCTTCAGAGGAAGCTTGTCCCTGTGACTAGGGGAAGGATGTGACAAGAGTGGTGTGAGTCACAGACACAAGAGAGAGATCTGAGAGGTTCCGGGAGAATGAGAGAGCAGTGAACTCAAAGGAGCGAGAGAGAGGACGATGAGTTGAGACAAAGGATGGAAAGCCATTTGATGCAGCGGCTGAGGAAGGATAACGGTGAGGATGATTCAGTGTGTGAAGTGTTGTGGTAGCTGGGGGAGAATAAGCATTCAAAATGTGTGTGTGGGTGGGGGTGGTGTGTGGAACAAGCTTAGAATGTCAAAGGGATCAATGCCAGGAAAAGTGAGGGTGTTGAGCATAAGGTGTATCTTAGTGTCACACCACTACAGAATGGTGTAGTCACTGGAGGGACTTGGTTCAGGGACAGGGAGGCTCATTCTCAGTGGGTCCCTCTCTCTCTTGGGGTACAATGCTGGGCTAAGTGTTGCCAGTAAGTCCAGGGATGGGTTCACAAGTATCCCCAAGGGAGACCCCATGGCCCTCCGAGAAGGAAAGCTGTGACAGGGAGCCCAGCTAATTCGGGACAAGCTGGGTGAGGAGTGTGTGAGGGACGGGCGGAGAGTGGCAGGGGTGCCTGACCTGGGCACCTTCTCCTGGTTCAGACAACTGTCCAATTTCTGTCACTTGGCTCTGCCTCCACCACACTCTCAGGGAGTACCACTCGCTGGAGAAATAGTTTTCATACGTGATAACTTTGCCTCTTCCACCAATTACTTTAAACCCATTCCCTCTCATTCTGCATCCTGTCCAGAATGTGAACAGCGCACAGTCTCGCTGTCTCCTTCAGCGCACAGTCTCGCTGTCTCCTTCAGCGCACAGTCTCGCTGTCTGCGCCAGCGAGGTTTCCCAAGCTATCAGACCCCCTTGCTGCCTGTGACTGGGCTTTTCCATCTGATTAGTGAAGGACATGTTTCTCTCAGTGATGCTGACTGATCCTGTTAACCATCTCATCCGTTGTCTTTCACAGGTTTATAACCCGTATCGCTTCGATTCCACAGACGCAGCCAAGAGAGCGTCACATGCCTACATCCCCTTCTCAGCAGGCCCGAGGTAAGCTCAGTTAGTTCTCTTACTGCAGGGTGGGTCCCTTGCTGTGCTGCTACCTGACTTCACTTGGTAATGCCCACTACCAGGTACACTCTCTGTTCCAATCCGGGTTCTGAGAATAAGCTGTCTCTGAACAAGAATCTCGCAGGATCGACTGAAACCCTCCAGATCAGATGCTCAGTGTCAGTCCTGTCCAATATGGCTGTCAGTCAGGTCTGTGTCCTCAGTCGGTTAGAGTATGGAGTCTGTGTCAGAAACAGCAGGCCACAACCAAGCAGTAAAATGGATGAAGAACTCAGTCCCTCACCTTCAGCCTTGACAATCCCCTTGGCCAGTCTCCAAGTCCTTATGGTTTTGTGGAATCCTCCAAAACAGCACAGCAGGGGGCATCATTTAAACATTCCTGCATCTTGCTCCACCTATTCAGCTTCTGTAATTATGTTAGGTGGGTGCCAGGGTCAGGGGTCAATGCCAGGGGCACCAGTCCTGCTCCCCAACATCTTGGGAATTAGCACGCAGAGTCGGGATAACAGACAGCAAGACTAGTTCCAAAGACACAAACTGGTGGGAGAATTGGTGGGATTGTGTTTTTCTGCTTTGATATTTCTGCTTTGGTAGTGACAGCATCCCAGACTAGTATCCATGTTCCTCCTACACTTAGAAAGATGGCATTCCCAAAACCCGGCAATGAGCTGCTGAGATGGTTCTCCTGATAATGAAAACTTTTAAATGGAAATAATCTAAAGATGGATCTTTGAGATTTTTCTTTTTATGATTTCTCAGGCTGTGGGCATCACTGGCAAAGCTAGCATTTGTTGCCCATCCCTAACTGGCCTTCGCAATGAAGGGCTTGCTAGGGCCGTTTCCAAGTAAAGTTACAAATGTGGGTCTGGAGTCACATATAGACCAGACTGGGTAAGGGTGACAGATTTCCCTCCCTAAAGGACATTAATGAACCATATAATTTTTGAAGCTATTAATGGTTTCATGGTCACCATCAGTGAGTCTTAGCTTTAGATTCCAAATTTATTTAAAATTAAGTTGAAATCTTGAGGGATGGATCTATGACTGCCTCCTTCGGTCTCTTTTTCCATTGTGAGATTGTCTTCAGGAAGATCGTTGACACAGTGTCGTGAAATCAAATGGTCTTTGTGGTTTGTGGGAGAAACATTGAATGTTTTCAAAAAGGATTTAGATACAGTTCCTAGGGCTAAAGGGATCACAGGGCATGGGGGAGGAAGCAGGTTCAGGACACTGAGTTGGATAATCAGCCATGATCATTTTGAATGACAGAGCAGGTTTGAAGGGCTGAATGGCCTACTCCTGTTTCTATGTATGGATGGCCACTTCAAGGTGGGTCACTGCTGGAGGGGTGCAAGGACTTGTTTCTGATTTCCCAATAGTCTATTTCCATATTTGATAGAACACGGTCAGTCTTTGTATTTTCCTGCTTTTGTCAAAACGATTCCTTGTGCCTATATTAACGACAGAAATGTGTTTTTGACTCTGAGTTGTGCACAAACATGAAAGGTGCTGCACGATTACCTTCACTGACCTGATTGAACTGGGAGAGTTAATAAATGGTGACAATTGGTGTTTCTCTGCTTGAGACTGTGACACTGAACTGGAACATCAGCACTCACTCTGTAATCCACACCAAGCTCCCTAGGGGCATGAGCCCTCTGGCTGACTCTGTGGACTGAAGCATGTCCTTTTTAACCCAGCACACAGCTCTCCAGGCAAGCTCCAAGTGTTATCTGAGTAAAACTGTGTGGGAGGGAAGTGGTGAGACTGTGTCAGAGTGGCCAGTACCTCAGCGTGACTAACCTCAGCTGTAGAACTGCTGCAGGGTGAGATGTTGCAAAAGCACACCACCAGAGAAAAGATACAATCAGCCCAAGTACTGTTATAGTGTGAAGGTAAACTTCCACCACAGAACAGAGCCTGCAAGCTGCAAGAAAGAGTTTTCTTCCCTAAGAGGGACATTAGTGAGCCAGAAGGGCTTTGAATGGTAGTTGTCATGGACAGTACAGATTAGTTTTGGAATTCCAGGATTATTGGTTGAGTTTATATCTTCCCAACTAACATGGTGAGATTTGAAACCATGTTTTATTGTCGAGTGACGTGACCATTATATCAGCATCATCAGCCAGAGTTGAGTACATTTCACAGGGGAAGATGGGAGGGTGGCATTATTAATCCCTTCTATTAAAAAAAATGGATTTTCTTTGGCAGCAAAGTGTTTTGGCATGCCAAGATGCTGTTAATATTGCAAGAAAAACAACTGCTTTCTCTTTAGTCTTTTGTGGGATGTTACAATGATAAGGAGTGGTTAGGATCTGGAAGGCAGGGTCAATCTAAGCAGTCAACAGGGAATTGGATTGTCAAGAGGTGGGGGAGCGGGACTGGGTAAATTGCTCCTTGAGAGGGACAGCACAATGGGCCAAATGGTCATCTTAGCTATTGTAATCATTCCATAATTCTGTAACCCTAATCCTAACACTAACCCTAACCCTAACCCTGGCCACCACAGATTCAGCAGCATTTATTCCTCATCCCTAATTGCCCTTAAAAAGATGCAGGTGAGCTACCTCATAGATTATGGACCACAACATCTCAATGTACATCCACAATGCTGTCAGGGAGGGATTTTGACCCTCTGCCATAGAAGGAACGGTGATATATTTCCAAGTCAGGATGGTGAGTGGCTGGGAGGGGAACTTGCAGGGGGTGGTGCCCCCATGTATCTGCGGCCCTGGTCCTTCTAAATGGCAGAGGTCACGGATTCAGAAGGTGCTGTCAGAGGGGCTTTGACCAGGTACTGTGTTGATGCCTGTAGGATGAATCCAAGACGTGTCCAATTATGGTGCGAGCATTATCAGCTCTTTCAGCCTCATGGATAACCTGTGGCTGACTTGGCTGTGGGTATCTCCACAATGTTAGGTCAGTCCCAATAACTTCCCTGGGGAAGCTGAAGTATTGAACACCATGACAGATTCCCAGAAGGATCGACAGAGTAAATAATTCAACCATTGGACACTGTTCCATCACTTAGGATCCAGCTTTGGTCTATCTATTTCAGCATGGAGATTTTCACTGATGTCCCTCAGGCTCACAGCTTGCTTTGAGGGATAGAGTCCCAGATTTCCATGACCTGTTTGTGAAGTTCTTTCTGACCTCATCCTTGAATAATCTTGCTGTGATGTTGAGGTTATTCTTTGGAGGTAAAATGAATATGTCCACCCATTGCAACCTTATCACCAAGAGAAGGGTACAGAGAGCCAATCTCTGCTACATCCTGCTGCTGTCATACACACTCAACTTGCCTAGTTTGATTAACTGTATCTGCCGCATCTCCAAGTGTCCATTCTAATATTGCTTTTCTTGCATTTCAGTCCTGAGTACAAAGTGGGAAAGTTTAGACTACATGTCTCCTTTAAGTAATATTTATTCCTATTTGTTCTTGATTTTCCCCTGCTAGAGGGATTAGTTTAAAGTACTTGGACTATTGGAGAGTGACAGATGTGAACAAGTCCCTGCTTAATCTTTACTACCATCCTATTGATTTAACCTGAATTTGAAATCTGGATCTTTGAGGTTTGGGGAAGGGGGTACAGAGTGGCGAGATGCCCATCCCTTGGTGTTTAAATTGTTGCTTCCTCTTCCCTGTTTGTTTAGGAATTGCATTGGACAGAACTTTGCCCTGTCAGAGATGAAGGTGGCCGTGGCTCTGACTCTGCACCGCTACAGGTTATCACTGGACACATCGCAGGAGGTACGCAGGAAACCCGAGCTGATTCTCAGAACCGAGAGGGGGATCTGGCTGGTACTGGAACGGCTGCCAGGAACACAGCCGAGCGCTGAATGAGGGGGGCGAAGGTCGAAAACCAGAGAGGAAATTTCAACTTAACTTTCAATTGCCGTGGCCTACAGCTTTTTTTGTACTTACTGCTACATGAAAAAAAATTCCCAAGCTATGACGCTCAATAAAAAAACACATGTTGCAACCTATAAAATCAACCTCCATCTGTGCAAGTTAATGATTCTACATAATATGGTCATCTCTGTTGAACCTGATAAGGAGAACCGTAATATTCTTTCTAAGCCGTAATTATTTATTTTTTTTTGTTTCCTTGAAAAATGTAACAGCTATTTCTTGTGGTAAAGTGGTTAACTCTTCCCATGGCTGCTGAAAGGAAATGTGCAGGCCGATTGAGTTATCTGTGATGTTAGAGAATTAGTGCTGACCGACACTGCTCAAAGCAGGAAGCAGCTGCCCCTTCACTTTATGCACCAGCCTCTACCTAACCAAATCCAGCTACATTCACACGTGGCTAGAAATAGCTAGCAACCAGAAGTTGTGTGAAGAGGAGGCTGCAGAATAAGGGAGCTCTGTGTCAGTAACTAAAGCGGTGGTAAGACTTGCCTTTATCTAAAACGCTAAGGCACATCCTAAATATTTGATCATCTGGTCAATTTACACAACTTCAGTAACATGGTGAATTTCCCATTCATCCATCAACCTGCGAGGATAAGGAGGCAAATAATAACTTTAGTGTCCTCTCCTCCATTTATTGGTTGTTTAGGACAGAAATTTTTAAGATAAAATGAAACACTCAATTAAGAGATGCTATGATTAAATGGCCTTGCACATACATGTTTCATGTGCCCCACACTATGCAACGACATTGAGGCCTTGAATTATCTCGTTCCTCTCCTTACAATATTCTGACGTCCTGCAATTTCTAACTTGCAGGTCCTAGATGTTGCGGCATGAGCATCTGATCTAGGAATTTGTGCAGCCCCAGGTGGGCACAGGATCTCCCTCTGGGAACAACATAAATAATCTGCCCTCCCATCAGGTCTGTGATTTTGAACAGAATTTCCAGGCTGCTTTCTGCCACATTATTGAATCAATCTAATCCAATGTTCTTGTTTAAATCATAAACATTGATGGTATAACATGGGCAGGTACCAATCCTTTAATTGCAAGCAGGAACACAAAATTTTTCTGTATCACCCTGGGGTTGTAGACTGTCTATCTTTTATGCAGACTTGGATAATCTACAGCAGAAAGCTCAGTATTGGGAGAGGTACTACCAAAGATCCCACTGAGTCATGGACGACCCTGACTTGTGACCAAGCAAAATGGAGAAGGCTCATTCACGAAAGCATCAAAACACATTGTTGAGAACAGGCAGATGCTAAGTGTATCAAAGTCAAGGCCTTGGAGGGAAGCACACAAGCCTCCAAACAGTCTATCTACCCAAACCTTCACCAGCCCCTGGCCAACATTGCTCTCATTTCCAGAGTCCTTCAAACTGGATTCGAAGCAAAGCATTTTCAATCTTAAGGGATGGCTTTTTAAAAGACAGCTACTGAGTGCTAGAGCTCAGTGCCTGGAGTTAAGTCCTCTGTCTCACCACCCTGTTATACCCTTATACATTCACAGTTCTCTTTGGGAAACAGTGTGATGATTCACATGCTGGTCAGTCCCAGGATGTCACGGTCCGTTTCTCTCATATCTTTCTCCAAAACACAGAGGGTGTGCTTAGCATCATCCCCAAACAGAGAGCAGGAGCTCTGTTCTCTACCTGCTGGGACTGTCTGCAGCAGGATTCAAATCCTGCACCTTCTGCCTCAGAGGCTGGAACACTATCACGGCACCAAAAGGCTTGTGTTCAGCCCTTTGGGATAAGATAGCAGTGACTGTCTCCTGCAGCAATGGATTGTGGCATTGGCAATAAACCACACAAAGGAGAAGCTTTCTGTATTTCAACCAGACTGTTTGAACGAGTAGCTGTAAAGTCTTGGAGGTTGGAATTGATGAGTCAGGGGGCTCCCATCCGGTTTCACATGTGACCTACTACCTACTGAACAACACTGACTGCAGTTGGGGAGAGATTTCCACACTTTTGTTGATAAGACTGCAAAATGACCAAAACGATTTGGATTAAAGGAAGTTTGAGAGAAGTGGTACATACACAGAGGACATGACAGTTTTTGCAGTAAATTGTTTAATAGTATTTAATACCATTATTTCCTTTAAATATTCAACCATCAGAAATTGTGACATTTTCTGCTAGTCAATGATTTATTATATTGCTGATTAACTTTGGAAATAAATCTCACGTTAATCATTGCAAATGATTAAAACTACAAAAATGCACAGGATTATTCAACATCCATTACTGACCAGTGCAAATAGCAGGTTAAAAAAAGTTCAACTGAAAGTTGCATTGTTAGATTACTAGTGTTGGAGGTGCAAGAATCTCAAGGATCTGCTGGTTTCTTCACAATGTCTGTGCAACGTTGCTGAGAATGTCTCCACTTTTGGTTACAGTTGTGCCCATTCTGTCAATCCAGCAGCATCTCATTGGGGGCAGCGAGCCACCTGCACTAACTACAGAGCAAGAAAGGGGGGGCGGGGTGGCACAAAGCCATTACCACCCATACCAACAGGATGGTCATGGTTTGCCCTTTCCAGAGGCAAGCACCTTGTTAGTGCTGCCTGGTCTTCCTGTGCTATGCACACTGTAATGGGTCAGATATCTGACCCAAACTGAAAACCCCTCATCTCGAAACCAACTGTTCTCCTGAATTGAAAACCCAATTTCTGGAGCTGAGGGCTCCTTTTCATATGTAGCCATCTTCAATAGCCTCAATTCAGACTGGCACTGACGCTTGACTCAGTACGTGAGCGATAACAGGATCTTACTATTCCTGTTAAAGGAGGCTTGTTGTTTAAGCTTCTCGTGTTGCACTCATCAGGATGTAATCGCAAGAATACCAAATTTCAAATGGAACAATAATTTACACTAATACAGTACGAACAGTAGAACTTGTTGCTGTCTTTGAAATCTGGTGTTCTAACAACTCCATCCTGATGAACAGACCACGAAAAGTTTTGACAGCATGTCTCCCTTTACTGCATTACCGTGATCCTATTGGTGAAGTTTCTCCACATATTACTGAAATGTTGGTACATCCAAATGTTACTGCTTACTAGGATAGAACAGACCGGATTTATAGACTTCACTTCAAAAAGGTGATAAGTACAGGTTATGAACATTATCCCTATCACTGAAGCTGCAGCTAATTTTCCATAGCAGCTCAACATTCATTATAACCTTACTCTTTGGAATTTAGAGTTTTCCCTGTTGACACTGAAATGTACCAGACGGAGTCACTCTGGACATATCCAGACTAGCTTGGAAAGGGCTCTACAGGAAGTAGCTTCTGTTCTGCAGTGCCTGGAGTGGTTTGGTTGAACAGTGCTTCAACTAGCTACTTACAAGGTGCACTATCAAAACTTTTGACAAATGAGCCTATAGCAGGAAGGTTAAGGTGTTTCGTTACAACGCAGCTTTTTATCTTTCGATACTTACTCTGGTCCAGAGGTTTAAACAGGAGGAGGATAGCTAGGTGACTAGGAATGTCAGTGTGCTATTACTTGTTAAATGGGCAAACTCAGTGAGTTCGGCCCAACTGGTGAATATTCAGTCTAATCAGCTGTGGAGATGAGGAATGCTAAGTGAATCCTCGTACAGCAGTAACTAGTTTGTGGTCATGTGAATCCGGCAGCAGATTCTGCACCGCCAAATAAAATCCATTAGAACACAATCATAACTCCATCTGCAAAACATAATCTCATCACCTTCTCAGACTAAACAAAGCAGCATCTCGAGGATGTCGAGGGAATAAAGTAACCAATTAAAAGTCACAAATTAATGGCAGTGCAGGTGATTAAATAGTTGAACAGCAATAATTGATTATTCAAAAATTAAACATTTCAATAACATTATCAGTGCCAAACAAAAAGTGAATCCTAGTATAGGACCACATTACAACCATCAATAGCCCAACAAAGCCTTCCTGTCTTGTGGAGGTACAATTCTATCCCTGAAACAGTTCAGGGTCATCTGTACCCAAGAGACAGTGAGAAGCTCCCAGTAGTTTTCATATTTAAATTGTTATAAGCAGGAGTGCACTACGTGGGCTTTTCCTTAAGTGTAACATTTGTTTGAATGACTTATTTACTGAAATAAAACCACAGAACACTGGAGAAACTCAGCAGGTGTGGCAGCATCTGTGGACAGAAGAACAGAGTTAACATTTCGAGTCCATCATGACTCTTCTTCAGAACTGACATACTGGACTCAAAACATTAACTCTGTTTCTCTCCACTGATGCTGCACAACCTGCTGAATTTCTCCAGCACTCTGTTTCTTCCAAGATTTCCAGCATTCACAGCATTTTGTTTTTCTTTGACTTGGTGCTTGTTCCAAAGACTTCCGTCTGGTCTCTCTATGTTTTGTGCTGTACACTGCTCCTTGTCCACAGGTTCACAGTGATGGAATGATGGGCCGGTGTTTATTTAAGCCATGGGTTTGCAGAGTAGGAACAGACCGGAGATAAACAGGCCGAGAGACTTCCACGGAGCAGGACATTTTCACTTTTCATTCTCAGAGTCTGGAATTACTGATTGGTTTTGTAAACTAACGTGGACAGTGATCTGAACCCTTTGAAACTTGGGGAACTGAGGCGGGGGGGGGAAAGACAAACAGAGGGGGGTGTGGGGGGGAGAGGCGGGGGAGTGAAGGGGGTGGGTCGGGAGAAAGAGAGTGTTGAAAATGGGGAACGGAACAAAATGGGACAAGATGCATGTATACAGAGCTACAGTAATGCATCTATCATGGAGTGAACTCTGTTACTTACACTGTGTGGGGAATATCACAGTGTAATTCAACCATCATCTCCTAAGGAGTTAATCCACATGGTATGGTTCAGAAATGGCAGTGCAACATTAAATTTCTCAGTTGTGACAGTACTAACTGGAGTTTAGGACAGTAAATTCAGCTAATAGCTAACAGATTGTGAACACAGAGCTGAAGACTGATCTCTGTTAGAAGATACTGGCTATGATACAGCACCCACTGAGTTTAAACAGCGTTTAAACAAAACTGACCTCCGCTGATGGGGATCTGGAGCGCTGGTAAAATAAAAAACTAGCTCCTTTCTTGATTTGTTACCAATCTGCATTAAAAGAATGGACAGACACTGACTAGCTCAGCAAGTGACAGGATTTGACAAAGCCAGCACAGCATCAGAAGCCCAAAACCAGGGCTGCTGGCGATCCTACTTACTCACTTGAGTATCCCAATGACTTGGAATTTAAACAAAATTAAAGTATTGGGAGCAAGCAGCAAGATTTTCTACCGAGGGGAAAATTGATTGAAAGGAGGACATGGGATTCAGCAGCTTCGCTTCACTTCACCTGGAGTTAAAAGGAAATGCTGCATCCAACAGCAAACTGAAATGACAGCAAGCCCCCTGGACACTCCAGTGCTGGAAACCAGCTCCTGTAAACAGGAAGGAAAATAGTCCCTGATGGAGGAGGAAATCTGATACAAGTAGCATACCACACTCGCAAAGATTGGTGCAAGAGATGTTTTGCTATTCAACAGGATAATTTTGTAAATCCCTTTCTTTCGCTAGGTTCCGTTACTGAAGTGGGAGTTGCTGGCTAGGCTGACTAGGTAGAGTTTTAGCAACAGTCTGATTGGGTGCTGGGGTTTTGCTGGGTGTTGCTGCCAGCTTTACGATGCCTTACATTGTTCTGTTCATCCTGTGGAAAAAGAAAATAAAATTCATTAAAAATTCACTACGGGGAAGCTGATACATCAATTAGATATGACACAAGGGCATTCATAAAATATAGTCACATTAGATGTAAGCAGGCATGGTTTTTATGTCAGTGAGGTACAGGAGTCAGCATTTGGTTGTGGTGTGATCCTGGGTTTGGGAGGGAAGGAAGGAGAGTTTGTGGGGATCAGGGAAATGATTGAAACACACAAATGCTTTAATGAATTTAAAGCTGAACCAGATCCCCAATTCCCATTATTGCCACATCCCACATTCCACCAGACTCCCAATCCCCAATACTCTCACACGCTCCCATAGTAATTCCATAAGGTATTCTTCCACTGTTCCTGGTCCCCAAGCATCCCCTCGGCTCATTCGGCCCTGATATCTCCAACTATCCTTCACCCATCCACTAAAAACTAACCACAGGTTTGGTCAATTCAGAAGACCACCCCCCCCTCTCTCCCCGCATCCCCCACCACCCCAACCTCTCCCAGGAATGAAGCTCAGTTCAGGTCTTACAATGCTGAAGGCACCAGATGAAGGGAAGCTGCTATCTGCAACACCTGAGTAATATTCAGACTTCAGCTGATAAGTAGCAGGCAACACTCAGGCTGCTTTGACAGCCACCGGAACCAAAAGAAATCCCAGTCACCTCCACCTGACCATCAGCTTCACTGTTACCTCTGAACTGGTCAGCATTGATATCTTGGATAGAGCAATGAGTAAAAGCTGACCTGGTGTGTGGATTGATATTGTGGCCACATTAACTGTACAGAGGCTGGATCCTCTGGTGAGTGCCTCTCCATCATCGACAAGGATTGAAGACAAGATTGTGATGAGCGATGAACATTAGAAACCGGGGCAGGAGGTGGCCGCTCAGCTTCTTTAAGCCTGCTTCACCGTTTGATAAATTTACTGCTCATTTCTATAATTCCATTCCCAATATCCCTCAATCCCCTTTGTAGCCACTAAGTGATCTGAATTTTGTTTGTACTCAGCGACTGGGCATCATGGCCTTAAGGGGTAGGGATTCTAACCATTCAAAACTAAAGAAATTTCCTCTCTTCTCAGTTGGAAATGGTTGATTCCTTTGATTGTGAGAATGTGGTTCCTACTTGCAATGTTGAGTCAGTAGACAGAGCAGTAATCACAGAGTTGTTAAAGCCTAGGATATAGTCACCTTGTCTGCACCAGCTCTCAAAGAGCTTTTAATGGTGGTAACTTGTATCCACCCCATGAGCCCCCTAGTCACTACTGCCTTTCTGCAGTTTTAAGTCTGGCACTGCAAGTAGATATCTTTCCAGGTTGCTGCTATTGACACAGGTAGTCGTGGCTAAACATCTGATTGAGAACTCTCAGGAAATCACTGCACTGCCTATGGTCTACCATCCCAAATCAAAGCTGACCTGCCACCTCACTTGCTTAGTAAACTGCCTTCATCAAGTCAGCACTTCCTGCAGTCTTTCAAAGCCAAAGTTGTGTTGTCAAGCTCTCGGCTATTCAGGCACTCCTCAACCCCAGCTTTCAGAATCGTTTCACAGTGTTGGCGTGATCATTGGCTGTTCCTTGGTTCACTGGCACCCAATCAGCAACAGCACCTAGAGATACACATCACCCTGTTGGTCTCCAGTGCTATCAACAAGTTAAATTTCACCTCTACTCTCTATTTCCCAGTCTCACTTTCCCTTGTTAATTTCCTGTAGATTATTCTACTTTCTTAGCTCCATTCAACTCTGACATAACTAATTACAGCACGGAGGGAAACCATTTGGTCCATCTCCTGGCTGCTAGTCATTCACTCTCATCCTATTAACGAATCCTTATATATTGTTACATTTCATAGATCAATTCAAATCCCCTAAAATAACGGTGCTGCTTAAATAAACCCCAGTGGTCAGGAATACTCCATTCTGACAATGCACATAATGAATACAGTTTGAATATGTTCTTTTGTTGTCTCACAATGGCCTTTAATCTGTACCCATCAGGCCCATTAGTTTGTTCTTGCTGCTTTATCACAATTTTCCATTCCTGCTCAATCAATGGAACTTGGAATAGTTGTCTCAAACAGTGTCTTAATTTCTTTCTCAGTTTGGATAGCAGCATGAATTTTGCGTCTGGCGCATTTTGACACTTGAGTATCCATAGTATGCTGCACCCAGAGGGGCTTAACTCTGCAGCTGATGAAATGGTGAAACTTGGTTCTGTGGCACTGCAGCCATAACTGACTGCGTCTGGTTGCAAGTTTGGTAAAAACCAATGTTTTGCAGCACTGCCGCAGGGACAAGTCCCCATACTTGCACGTACAATAGGAAGAGGAAGTTAAACACTGATTGAAACTGAATAAAACAACAGAGATATCATGCACAATATCAGTTCTGCAAGATCAAATCACTGAGAGCGCTCCTGCCTCTCACTCTGTTATTCTCTTAGATTGTCCTTATCGAGGTGAACGTGACTGTCAATTAGTGTCTAGCAGAAAGCTTGCTGTTTGCTTTCACAGTGTTGCTGACTTTCTTGCTAGGTCTTCCTACCTTGGATCTGCCCCTTTTATCTGTGTTCTTTTGGTCCTGTTTCTTTTTACCCACTCCTTTGTGCCCAGTGAACCCAGTTACTGGGATGGGGGCATCACAGGTGAGGAGGAGCACAATTCCTGGTGTTTTTCCTCACCACAGGATAGGAACACTGCAGCCTATTATTGTGCAGTAGGGGTGCGGGGACAGAATGATAACGTTACTAGGAGCGGCACAGTGGCTCAGTGGTTAGGAGCAAAAACAAAGTTGCTGGAAAAGCTCAGCAGGTCTCATTGAGGAAGGGTCACCGGTCCCGAAACGTTAACTCTGTTTTCTCCTTCACAGATGCTGCCAGACCTCCTGAGCTTTTCCAGCAACTTTGTTTTTGCTCCTGAGTTACAGCATCCGCAGTTCTTTCGGTTTTTATTTGGCTCAGTGGTTAGCACTGCTGCCTCACAGCGCCAGGGACTCGGGTTCGATTCCACCCTCGGGTGACTGTCTGTGTGGAGCTTGCACGTTATCCCAGTATCTGTGTGGGTTTCCTCCGGGTGCTCCGGTTTCCTCCCACAGTCCAAAGATGTGCAGGTTAGGTGGATTGGCCATGCTAAATTGCCCGTAGTGTTCAGGGATGTGTAGATTAGGTGGGTTATAGGGGGATCGGTCTGGGTGGGATGCTCTGAGAGTCGATGTGGGCTTGTTGGGCTGAAGGGCCTGTTTCCACACTGTAGGGATTCTATGATGATGACTGGTATTGCCTGGACTAATGCTCCTGAGATGAGAAACCATGGCAGCTGGCGGAACTTAAGTTTGAGTAATAAGTTTGGAAATGAAAGCTGGGCATTGGGATTTTATAACAATTATCTGGTTCACTACTGTCCTTTAGGGAAACAAATCTGTTCTCCTTACCTGGTCTGGTATTTTCATGACTCCAGACCTGTTTGCAATGAGGGTGACTCTTAAATGCGCTCTAAAATGACCTAACAAGCCACTCATCTTAAGGACAATTGTAAAGAACTCCATAACTCTTTCAACAAGGTCTCACATGGCAGACTGGTTAAGAAGCTGAGAGCCCATGGGATCCAGGGTAATGTGTCAAATTGGGTCCAAAATAGGCAGGAAGCAGAGGGTGATGATTGAAGGGTGTTTGTGTGACTGAAGTCTATGTCCATTGGTGTACCACAGGATTAAATGCTGGGGCCTTTGCTGTTTGTTGTGTACATTAATGATCTAGACATGAATGTAGAAGATATGGTCAGTCAGTTTGATCTGTCAGATGACACCGAACTTGGTGGCGTGGCAGACACCAAGGAGGAGAGCCTTAGAATGCTATAAATGGGCTGGTCAGATGGATTGAACAGTGACAAATGGAATTTAATCCTGAAAAGCGTGGAACAGTGCATTTTGAGAGGACTTACAAGGCTAGAGATGGTTGAATGGTAGGACCCTAGGATTTACAGAGGATCAGAGGGACCTTTGTATGCATGCCCACAGATCCTGGAAGGCAGCAGGACCGAGGGATAAAGTGGTTAAGATGACATATAGAATACTTGCCTGCATTAGCTGAGGCATGGAACACATGAGCAGCAGGCCATGATGGAACTTTGTGTAACATTAGTCAGGCCACAGCTAGAGCACCATGTGGTTACCACATTATTGGAAGGATATGATTGCACTAGAGAGAGATTCATGAGGATGTTGCCTGGGCTGGAACAATTCGGCTATGAAGACAGGCCTGATAGGCTTGGACTGTTTGCTTCTAGCAGAGAAGGCTGGAGGAGATGTACATAGCTCTGAGAGGCATAGACAGGGCAGATCTGAGGAAAACCTCTCTCATCCAGTGGGTGGTAGGTATCTGGAACTGACTTCCTGAAAGGGTGGTAGAGGCAGGAATACACAAAACATTTAAGAGCTATTTAGATGAGCACTTGAAACACCACAGCATAGATGGCTTGATACTGCTGATGGGCTGAAGGGCCTCTTTCCATCATATAAAAGCTCTGACTCTATGACTCCAATTAAGAATGGGCAAGATCTTACCAGTAATGACCGCATCCCATGAAAGACTGAAGTTGAAGTATCTATCAGCTATAACTGAATAGCAGAACTAAGTAGAACAACAGCCTTGAAAGGATGAATAGGCTTGTCTTGTTACTAGAACTGTAATCCTTCACTGGATGATTAAATTTGGGAGAGTTTACTTTCCTGGGGTTATCCAACTCATAACTAACATGTAAGAAGATGAGAAATTCTGTAGAAGTGGTGATTCTGTCGTTCACTTACCATTTCAAAAGCAGATTCCTGAGTCCATTCAGCAGCTGAGTGGTTGGTTTCTGGATCGTCCTGGTCTTCAAGCTCCTCATTGTCATCTTGTTCCTCATCCCTCACTGCATCCATCACTTCATCCTCATATTCAGTAAGATAATCAGATTCTTCTGCTATGGAGAAAACACAAAGCATGTGATGGGCAGGCTCCCTGTATCTCTCTCTCTCCATCAGCAAAGGCACAGCACTGCTCTCGGAGTCAAAATTTATCACTGCCTCCATTTCAGGTTCAAAGAGAGAAGCTGTATTGAAACACCCCATTTGCCCCATGCTCCAGACTGACTTCCTAACACCTACTCAATTACCTGCCTCACCTACCAACTCACTTACCTCAATTCTCTCTCATTTGCTTATCCAACTTCTCTTGCAATTCATCTGCGCTATTCACCTCCACCAGTCCATTTGGCATTGAGCTCCACATTCTAACCACTCTCTGGGGTAAAAAGAGGTATCTCCTAGAATTGCAGTTTGAATTGATTATGGGCAAACCCACATTAACAGCCTCAGCCACAAGAGGACAGCGAGCTGGTCACAGAGGAGCGTGGCAGGGCAGATATTATCAAGTCTCACTCACAAGTGTAAAAATCTCCTCTACATGGTCTGATCATACCCTCTTGTGATTTTAAAGGCCTGATTCAGGAAATCCCTCAGCCCTCCCTTTGTATTCCTCTTCCCAGATAGGTACATGGGAGCTGGTGAAATTTGAATTCAATTTTTAAAAAGCTACCTTAGTGACGGCCCTGTAACCACTGCCAACTGTCACAAAAATTAATTAGTTCCCCAATGTCATTCAGGGAGGGAAATCTGCCGACCATACCCAATCTGGCCTACATGTGACTCCAGTACCACAAGAATGTGGATGACTCTTAACTGCCCTCATGGTAATTACGGATGGGTATGCAAGGGCATTTTGAGATCAAGAAAGGAGTGGTGTTAATTCTCGAAGAACATTAAGGTACATTTTCTATTCATTTATTCATTCACGGGATGAAGGTGTCGCTGGCTCGGCAGCATTTATTGCCCATTCCTAATTGCCTAGACGGCAGTTAAGAGTCAACCACATTGTTGTGGGACTGGAGTCACATGTAGGCCAGACCAGATAAGGATGGCAGTTTCCTTTCCTAAAGGACATTAGTGAGCCAGATGGGTTTTTCCTGATGATTGGCAATGGATTCACAGTCATCTTTAGATTTTTAATTCCAGATATTTATTGAATTCAAATTCAACCATCTGCAGTGGCAGGATTCGAACTCAGGTCCCCAGAACATTACCTGGGTCTCTGGGTTAACAGTCTAGCGATAATACCACGAGGCCATCGCCTCCCCATGTAGATAAGTCCCCAGGGCCCGATGGTATCTACCCCAGGATATTGATAAGGGCAAGAGAGGAGATTGCTGGAGCCTTGACCAAGATCTTTTTATCCTCATTAGCCACTGGAGAGGTCCCAGAGGACTGGCGAGTAGCTAATGTTGTTCCTCTGTTCAAGAAGGGAAATAGGGATAATCCAGGAAACTACAGACCAGCAAGTCTCACATCGGTGGTTGGGAAGCTGTTGCACAGAATTTTTAGGGATAGGATTTACATGCATTTGGAAAAGCAAGGCCTAATTAGGGGCAGTCAGCATGGCTTTGTGCACAGCAGGTCATGTCTTACTAACTTGAGTGAATTTTTTGAGGAGGGGACAAAGGTGATCGATGAAAGTAGAGCAGTGGATGTTGTCTACATGGATTTTAATAAGGCTTTTGGCAAAGCCCCTCATGGTAGGCTCATCCAGAAGATTAAGATGCATGGGATCCACAGTGACTTGGCCACATGGATTCAGAATTGGCTTGCCCATAGAAGGCAGTGGGTAGTAGTGGGAGCATGTTTTTCTGGCTGGAGGTCTGTAACTAGTGGTATTCCACAGGGATCCACAGAGGGACCTCTGGCGTTTGCAATATATATAAATAACTTGGATGAAAATGTAGATGTGGGAGGGGTCAGTAAGTTTGCAGACGATACAAAGATCAGTGGAGTTGTGGATAGTGCAGAAGGCTGTCAAAGGATACAGTGGGATATAGATCAGTTGCAGATATGGGTACAGAAATGACAGGTGGCGTTTAATCTGGGTATGAGATGTTGCACTTTGGGAAATCAAATGTTAAGGAAAGTATACAATTAATGGCAGGACCCTGAACAGCGCTGATGTATATAGTCTGTAGTTCCCTGTAAGTGGCCACACAAGTAAATAGTGTGGTAAAGTAGGTATATAGCATGCTTGCCTTTACTGGTCGGGGAATTGTGTACAAGAATCAGGATGTCATGTTACAGATTTATAGGACTTTGGTTAGGTCACACTTACATTATAGGAAGGATGTGGAGGCTTTCAAAATGGTGCAGAAGAGGTTTACCAGGATGCTGCCTGGATTAGAGGGTATGAGCTATAAGGAGAGGCTAGAGAAGCCCTCAGGTTGTTTTCCTCTTGAGCGGCAGAGGCTGAGGAGAGACTTGATAGCAGTCTATAAAATTATGAAATGCATAGACAGGATTAGTGGTCAAAATCTTTTTCCCAGTGCTGAAATGTCTAAAACTAGGGCACATACATTCAAGGTGAGAGGGGGGTAAGTTCAAAGGAGATGTGAGGGGCAAGTTCTGTTTTTACACTGAGAGTGGTAGGAGTCTGGAATACACTGCCAGGGGTGGTGGTGGAGGCAGATACAATAGGGACATTTAAGGGACTTTTAGACAAGCACATGAACATGCAAGGAATGAAGGGATATGGACCAAGGGCAGGCAGAAGGGATTAACTTAATTTGGCGTCATGTTTGGCACAACGTTGTGGGCTAAAGGGCCCGTTCCTGCACTGCACAGTTCTATGTTCTAGTCTACATTTTATGTTCTAAACTTCTAAAAAAATCCCTCCCTGTTCTAGCATCAAACTTGCACATGTTTTTTGGCACCCTTGCTATTTTCTTTGCATTATGGAGTTTTGATGAAATTGTTGCCACAAAGTCTGCACGCAAGTGCACTCTCATCAAGGTATAGAGGAGGCTGCTTTTAATGTGAAGTGAAACTGAGAATGTTCTTGCTGCATACTGTGCTGGTAGATACTTAATAGATAATGAGATCACACGTTACTAAGAAATAAATGAACCAACACTGGCACCAACAGTAATTCTGAGTGCAAGGGAGTTACTGGATTTATCAATCACTTCACTCATGCATGTCCAGTCCTTCTATGATGTTTTAATGGAAATAGCTGACAGTACAATGAGACCCAGACAACACAGTTACAGTGACACTGATTAATGAGGCCCTCCCCAGTTCACCTTCATTGCTCAGATCTTTGAGTATAGGAGTTGGGACATTATATTGAGGTTGGGCAGGACGTTGGTGAGGCCTCTTCTGGAGTACTGTGTGCAGTTCTGGTCGCCCTGTTATAGGAAGCATATTATTAAGCTGGAAAGGGTTCAGAAAAGATTTACCAGGATGTTGCTGGGAATGGAGGGCTTGAGTTATAAGGAGACGCTGGATAGGCTAGGATGTTTTTTCACTGGAGGGTAGAAGATTGAAAGGTGACCTCATAGGGATTTTTTAAATCGTGAGGGGTATAGATAAGGTGAATGGTAGGTGTCTTTTCCAAAGGGTGGGGGAGTTATTTTTAAGGTGAGAGGAGAAAGATTTAAAAAAGACATGAGAGGCAACTTTGTTTTTACACAGAGAGTGGCTCGTATGTGGAATGAACTTCCAGAGGAATTGATGGATGCGGGTACAGTTACAATGTTTAAAAGACATTTGGATAAATACATGAATAAGAAATGTTTGGAGGGATATGGGCCAAGTGAAGGCAGGACTTGGTCTGAAGGGTCTGCTTCTGTGCTGTATGACTCTATGACTACAGTTTTGTTTCCAACTTCCTAAAATAGATGCTGATGTAAAGTCAGAGCTGCCAACCACCAGGGCGGGCCTAAAATCTTTAGGAATTCAAAATTAATCACCAGGAGACTGATAGGAGCAAAACAAGGAGGAAATGTGGGGCACGAAAAGAAAATGGATTCTTATTTTTCTACCCCACGCCCCATTTGGTTTGAAATGCATTGCTGTAACAACGTTGGGTTCACAAGGAGAAAAGGATGTGTGGCTGATACACATCTGGCAGTGAATGGAGATTCAACTCAATTTACAGCAAAGGGTTGACTTGTTGGGCTGATGGAGGCTGGAGGTGAAACCTAAAACACGGAGGGCACAACCTAACCACCTGGAACAGTCCTTCCCAAACCTTTATCCACCGTGACATCACTTTGAGGCTGGAAGATTGTCGTGTCCCCTCAGTGGGCAGTTGGCTTGAGGGTTTGGAGGAGCGGGGAGAGAAGATCTATGATAGCGGATGTGGGGGAACAGGAAGAGATGGAATTGGCAGAGGTCACTGTCACAAAGATCACGATCCTACTTGGGGTCCTGGTGCCTGTTTTGGGAACCCCTGATCAAGAAGTGTGAAACTGATAAACTTACAAACATTTCTGGTTCACGAAACAAAACAAGTCACAATGCAGTCTTTTGTCAAATATGAAACTCTCAGCACACAGCAGCAACAGGGAAAGTGCAAGTACGTTATATGTGGCCAGTGCTGGTACTGCAGCTACATTAAGCAGAGACCGCATTTGGGTCAATGCTGGCAAAGCCGCATTTATTACCAATCTCCAAGGTAACAGGGGCTATCTGAAGACATTAAGAGTCAATTGAATCGTATGGGACTGGAGTCAATAATGGAGGCAGTGGTAGAGGGAGCAGTGGATTATCATCGCGAGGTTCTGGACTGATCCAGTGGAGCTATTCTAAGTGTTCTGCAGCATTCACGGTCGTTGTGGTGTCTAATGACATTGTCCCAGTGGGATTGGAGCTCACAACCTCTGGGTCACTGCACATAGCCAACATGGTTTGGGTGCCTAGAGTCCCGAGCACCGATACCCACAGTGCAGTTAGTCACCAAAAAATCCCAATCTCACTACTCAGCTGTAGGAGAACCTGAGGCAGGTCAGTTATCTAGTCATCTAGGCTAAAGTGGCTACACTGCACAGAGGAGCCACAAAACAACAGGAAACAGGATACCGAGACAGCAGCTTCTCCCATCTGCTGGTAGCCGATTTAGGCTAGGGTTAAAAAAAAAGGCTTTACTCAAATTTTTACGAAATGGGCCGCAGTGAATTGTCTTGAGAGTCTTGATTGATGATCAAATCCATTATTTGGGTGTTTTCCTTTCTTGACTCGTCTCTAGTTGAATTTTGAGTCAACTAAATAAAAAGACACTGAGAAAGTACTGGAAAAGTAGGCAGCTTACCGTCTGCTAAATTGTAGCTCTTTGGGGGTTCAATTCGAGACACAATTTCAGCGAGGTCAGTGAATGCAGCATTCGAGGACATAAAGGCCTGTAAGAGAAGATGTTGTTCAATAAAGCAGCCTCCATACAAACACTTGGCACACACCTTCTGACAGTGTGTGAATGATTTTGTATGTACAGCTTGTCTACAAAGCTCCTTCACGTTTAACCTGCTCAGTTCCAGTTTACAAGGAGCCATTAATTACATAGTCAAATATTCCAATGTGCTTCATGAGGAGTGTGGACAAAGAAGCATGAGAGCAAAAGGAGGGGGTGGGGAGGGGTGGGTGGGGTAAGTGAGATACCGTGGGGAGGTACTGTAGGAGGCACTGTTTGGAAACGGAATAAGTTTAAGACCTTGACATCTGACGGCTCAAACATCAAATACACAAGTGATTAAAATCGAGAATGCTCCAGGTGCCATAACTGATCAAGAGCATGTTGGTCCAAGTATTGGCTACTTTTTTTATTCATAAACAGAATGAGGGCATCGCTGTCCAGGCCGGCATTTATTGCCCATCCCTAATTTTTCAGAGTCAACCACATTGCTGTGGGTCTGGAGTCACACGTAGGCCAGACCAGGTAAGGATGGCAATTTCGTTCCCTAAAGGACATTAGTGACCCAGATGGGTTTTTCCAACAATCGACAATGGATTAACGGTCATTATTAGATTCTTAATTTCAGGTATTTATTGAAGTCAAATTCCACCATCTGCTGCAGCAGGATTCAAACCCGTGTCCCCAGAACATTATCTGGGTCTCTGGATTAACAGTCCAGCGACAATACCACTAGGCCATTACCTCCCCTGAGGGCAGGAATCTGTCCATCACAGATTGCCGCTCCCCCTACTGTCGCAAAAAAACAGAAACAGAACATTCTTAAAGGATGCAAGCCTCTTTTAATTATGGAGGGGGATGCGCTGACCGAGACTCAGAGTTATATAAACTCACTTCTGGACAAAGGCAAACACTAACACATACTGACACACCCTAGACATAGACATCAGACACTCAAACTAACAGACTCATCTATGGAGACTCATTCAGAAGATACTCGGACTAACACAGGCAGCAGATCTATTGTCAGAGCAAGGAAACAGCAGAACAGACACGGATTCTGGGGCAGGCTTTCCTTTAAGTGGGGAGAGATACAGAGTGAAACACAAACAAACTCAACTGGAGAGTCTGTGGCCAGCTGAATACAGGCCCTCTCACATCTCCCCTCCTGTAGTGAATATCTAAACACAGTCCAATCCCACAGACTGACAGTGGACATAATCTTCTTGCTCTCCCCATCATCACTGAAGCTGAGTAATACTCTGACAGCACTCCATCATTTATGGTAAAAAGAGACATTTTAAAAAGAATTTTGATTTGTAAATACAGGTGGTTTCTTGTGGCCCAGTGAGTGTACATGGGTGTTTCTGGATAAAATAAACTGGGGGTTTAAAGTACTGAGAGCAGAAACTTGGAGATTTAAATTAATATACTAGCCCCCTGCAGCAAGGAGTTAGCGGTTTTAAACTCGTATTATATTAGAAACTGGGATCTGTTACTCACATTCTTCTTCTTGATTTCATAATAATCGACTGATTTTCTGTCCGTTAGCATCTTGTCGATAATGTCGCCCCTGTTCCAGCTACTGAAGACCACCTTTCCGTACTGGTATCCGACATTCTGTGGGCAGTCAGGAAGTGAGCTGAGAGGAGGACAACACCAGCAAGCAAAACAACACAATCCATGAGGAACAGATTCCTGCCTCCATGTGCAAGTATGGACTTTGGGGTCAACAGTGGTGATGTACAGAGACCTGTGGCGAACTGAGGAGAGATTCCAATTATGGGGAATTTCCCCTCCTCAAAGACTAGCCTTGCTTTCTTGACCAACATAGCTGACCACCTGAAGCCCGGGAAAGTCATGCTAATGACGTGCACCAATAGGTGATAAGTAACATTTGTGCCACATAAATGCCTGTATATCTCCAGCACGACAGAATCTAACCATCTCCACATGACATACATACATATCACTAAGTCCTCCCCACATCCTTAATAGTGACTCCTGACCAAAACCTGAAATAGATCAACCAAAAGGCTGGGAATTGTATCACAAGCAACAAACCCATCTCCACAGTGCCAGCCCACCATCCAGAAGACACAAGTCAGGAGTGTGATGGAATACTTGACTCTATGACTTCCCACTTGCTTGGATGAGTGCAGCTCCAACACTCAAGAAGCTTGACAACATCCAGGACAAAGTAGCCCGCTAAACTGGCACCCCATCACATTCAACATGCACTCCCTTCATCACTGATTCTCAGTGGCAGCAAAGTACACACTGTAATAATGTGCAAACCCTAGCCTTATGCCATATTGGGCAAGGGGAATAAACACATGGGAACATCACAACCTACAGGATCCCCTCCAAGCCACATACCATCCTGATTTTTTCTTTCTTCTTTCATGGGATGTGGGCATCACAGGCAAGGCCAGCTTTTTGTTTTGACAATCCCTCCATGCTCTCAATATGGAAAGTTAGTTAGGGCCATTAAAAGTCAACTGCACTGCCCTAGGTCTGGAGTCACATGCAGACCAGACTGGCTGGGATTTCCTTCTCTAAAGGACACAGCAAATCAGATTTTTCTTTTTACAACAATTGCGATCAGTTTATTGATCGCCAGCACAGAGACCACCTTTACATGCCACACATATAGTAAACACAGTCAGCTGATTGTGTTGATTGAAAGTCCCTTGAGACGGCTTTGTAGTCATCCATTCCCCCTGTGCCCTCGATCCAAACACTGAACAACAGAAACAGGAATCTTGTAAAACAGAGACATATCTGTACAAAGGTAAAAAGGTGTGCAGAGGGCGGGGAAAGCCAAGCACTGGGAGAAGGCAATGCAATGGTATATATTTTTAATCAGACTGTTATATTATGGCACACCTCTGGAGCCAGTTCAAGCATATTGGGCTGAATGGCCTCCACCTTGCTCTACTACTCTTTGAAAACATACACCACAAGATGTTCACTTACATAAATTTCATCAAACTTGCCAAAGTCCATGGTTTTGAACCTGTCAATAGGTGGCCGAATGTATTCACAGTACGCACTGCTTTTTACCAGCTCCAGTTGTCGAACACAGGAGACATAAGCCAGTCGAGACTGAATTTCTGCCATATCTGGCACCTGTAACATATCAGATATTCAATGGTACATTACATGAGATCTGTTAATACCACCATACAAGACATGAACACCAATGCCCATTCCCAAACCAGAGCTCCAATCTCTCCATGAATTCCACTAGCACTAAAATGCATTTTGTACAATACGATTACAGCAAATGAGGAACTAGCAGGTGACAGACAGAGCACAAAAACAAGAGGAAATAGAAAGCAAGTGAGCATTAGTAAGTGCACAGAAATAGGTCTGCAGGTTGAGCCATTAACATGGAAATGGCGCTTCTCATTCAGTCAAGAAACACTTTCACTTTTTAATCTGCAGCACTGAACACAGTGTAGACCTTTATTACAGTTCTCAAATGTCTCACTATTTCTCAAAATGTCTGGGACACAGATCTCCCACAGCTCCCTCAACACTCTGGGGCAGGGTCCCTCTCTACAACTCAGAGGCCCAATCTTTTCTTCCCCACCTCTGCAAATCAGACAGGGGTACCATCCCAGACAACAAGGTGCAGGGCTGGATGAACACAGCAGGCCAAGCAGCATCATAGGAGCAGAGAGGCTGACGTTTCGGGCCTAGACCCTTCATCAGAAAAGGGGGAGGGGAAGGGGGTTTTGAAATAAATAGGGAGAGAGTGGGAGGCGGATAGAAGAGGGATAGAGGAGAGGATAAGTGGAGAGGAAACAAACAGGTCGAAGAGGCGGGGATGGAGCCAGTAAAGGTGAGTGTAGGTAGGGAGTTAGGAAGGGGATAGGTCAGTCCAGGGAGGAGTCCATTGGGGATGATCTGGTTCCGTAGGCAGGTGCTAAGGAAGGTGATGGGTACCATCCCCTAAGGAGTCACGCTGAGAATGCAGATGTTTTTTGTCCTGTAAATGTTCTGTTTTTAGTGATGAGGTTGCGAGGTTCTTCACCACCATTGCCCTAGTAAAATAAATAGTAACAAGATGCACTTAACAATGAGCGAGATTTCTTCATCAATGCATGGCTGGATGCCAGATCTGATCATAACCCTTGATGCACATGTCGTAGTCTTGGCAAAAATCAATGGCAACAAAACCAGCTAATGAACTGGAGGGAATGCAATGTGCTTAGTACATGGTGCCAAGGTGCTCACTCAACTTCTCAGTTCGTTACTTATTACTCATGAGTAGAAATATTAGACCACCCGAGTGTTGGCCAGTGCTCCTGTACTCCGAAGCACTGTTCTGTGACAGCATTCACACTCAACGCCTGCTCCAAGGTAACTCAGTCCTATACATGAGAAAGAATGTGCGTAAGAGAGGGAATGGAGAAACACACAAAGACTCCGGCTGAGTGAGATACATAGAGGTATCTGAGTGAATGAGAGGCAGCAATAAAGGACAAATGAGATGGTAATTCAGAAACATTCTGGGAACTGTCACAAATCTGAGCTCCAAATGCAAAGTGACAGCACGCAAAGGAATGCCAAGAGGTAGCAAAGCTGGGAAAGTAAAGCCCCCTGACATTCTATATCTACACAGCACCAATATCAAGCCCTCAATATAGGTGCTAGCACTAAATGAGACAAAAATCACCCTGCTGCATTGTCACAACATAATGAAGCACTGCACAAGGAACAAGGGGAAAATTACAAACAAAATGGCTTAATCTCAGCCCTGGTGATGTATTTCTACTGTTAGGCATGAGGCAGCGAGTGGGACTGTCACTTAAGATTTATTTCAAAGAGTTTGAAAGTAGGGAGGTCTTATGTAATTTTAGCAAGGCTTTAGTCAGACCACAGCTGGAATACTGTGAACAGCTTTGGTCCCCTTTCTTAGAAAAAAATATATTGGAATTGGAGGTAGCCCAAAGTTAATTCAGTAGAATTCTGCATATAAAGGAATTTTCTTATGAGAAGAGGTCAAGTACTCACTGGAGTTTGGAAGAATGACAGAAGACCTTATTGAAATATACAGAATTCTCAGGTGGCTTTACAGGGTAGTTGAGGGGAGGTTGTTTTTCCTTATGAGAGAGTCTAGGACCAGAGGGCATACTCCTAGAATAAGGGGTCACCCATTTAAGACAGAGATGAAGAAGAATTCCTTCTGTCAGAGGGTAGAGAATCTGTGGAATTCTTTAATTCAAAGGGCTGTTGAGACTGGGTCATTCAAACATATTCAAGGCTGATATAGTTTTTAAATCAGTAAGGGAATAGGGGTTTTGGGAAAAGGTGGGAAAGTGGAGTTAAGGATTATCAGATCAGCCTTGATCTCATTGAATGGCAGAGCAGATTCAATGGGTTTCTGTTCCCATGTTTTACGGACAGGTGAGAGTGCGGTGTAGTTTAGTTTGGCGACTGTGTGAATATGACCCCCAGCTATTTAATGGGGCTGGGGCAGTGGTGGTGGGGTGAGTGGAGTGGGGTTGTTCTCCGAATGGCCTTCACAGCCCACATTCAATTGCCACCCCGAGTGAGAAGCTGCGGGACAGCCAAAAAAAACTAAAATCCCTTGCAAGATTCTCTCTCACTACAGCAGCCGGCCTTCCCCAAACTCCTTTAAAAAATGTACACCGTGTAATTGCATGAAAGACAGGCTTTTCTTCCTACTTTAACTTTTTCTGCCCATGGATTTAGGCGTTTCCAAAGCAGCCACCATCCCGAAAGACTGTCTCCATAGTTACTCAGCTCAGCTTCATCCCTGCTGCCCACATCAATGGCAATCACTGTTTTGGCGCCCATATTTCTTGCGATGTCAGCTGTAATAAAAACAATTCATTTAACGCTTGTACTGAATAAGACACAATTTGTGCACACTGTGCAGTAGGCTGGCATTCCCCATCAAATGAAGCTCTCTGCAATCTATCCTTGGAAACAACTCCCTGTTGCCATTTTGGTACTTAGAGAATCACAGTCCTGTTTTTGCATCATGCTCTAAACACAAGGTTCTAACCTCATTACATTGTCAATATACACAAGCTACATTGTACTCCACTTACCGTGATCCACTTTAAACAAGGTGACAAATGAGGAATCAAAAGAGAAACTTTATTGGCGTTTATAATAAATAAAAATTCTATTAATGCACAAGTTTAAAATCTCTTCGTATAAACCAAAACTGAATAATGAATTCCATATGGAGTAATAGACACTTTGGATATGAGTAAAAGGCAGTAATCTCATCCTGCACCGTACAAATGTAACTGGAGGGTTTGGGACCTGTAATCTTATCCCAGTATAAATAAAAGGCACATGAGGGTTAGGAACAGGGAATATGCTACCTCTGTTCATTTCTGTCTACATTGGTAGAGGTGCGCAAGAGACCAAAAACCTGCAACTATATTTATCAAATAAACAGGGAAGAAATTTGTGTAGCAAAATGAAGGAAAATAAGCAATGTGGCCACTGAAAAGAAACACGGCTGATCCATAGCATAGCCAAGTTACGTGGTCACTGCAGAACAACGTAGCTATTGTATAATGGTCTGACCAGGGATTTAGAAACAGTGATAAAAGTGATGCAGGAAATCCGTAATTAAAGGTTTGGTGTATAATAGATGGCTGAGGGATAGCAATCTGGCAAGTGGATAAATTAGTCATCCTACAACAGCTTGGCCAGCACGCATTCAGAAGAAAATAAATTGGCCAGCGTACAGCAATGTAAATGGTATGTAATGTGGCAAAAATAATTGTTTAGACCAATATATATTATCCAACCATGGTGAAAATTAAAGTTGACAGCATTTAGCAATGCGACAGTGCTGAACATTGCAATAATCATGCCGTGTACAACAAATGCAGTCAAAAACATTTTAAAAGAGAAGAAAATGTTGATTTTAGGTGTGACATATAATCAGTCAGGTACGCTAATTTGATTGCTGTTGCACAAGACAGACTAACAAGCCAGGGGTCGGGAAAATGGGAGCGCTACTGAATACAAGTGCACAAAGTTCATAAAAACTGAAAGAACTGCGGATGCTGTAAATCAGGAACAAAA